AAACCAATCCATCTGTGAGGTTTCAGTATGCAGCTATCCTCACTCAACACGTCTAGGTGTCCGCGGCAATCTCCAATACAAATCACCTGTGAGGTTTCAGTATGTGTCGTTCCTCACTCAAAGCGTCTATGTGTCCGGCACTATCCAACATCACTCAACTCGTGAGGTTTCAGTATATAGCTATCTCCACCTAGCGCATCCATGTGTCTGGCAAACTCACAAACCAATCCATCTGTGAGGTTTCAGTATGCAGCTATCCTCACTCAACACATCTATATGTTCGGCAATCTCCATCACAAATCACCTGTGAGGTTCAGTATGTGTCTATCCTCATTCAACGCGTCCATGTGTCCGGCACTCCAACATCACTCAACCCGTGGGGTTTCAGTTTGCAGCTATCCCCACTCAACCCGTTCATGTGTCTGGCAATCTCAAACCTCACTCAACCCTTGGGGTTTCAGTATACAGCTATAATCACTCAACCAGTGAGGTTTCCGTAAGCTATCCTAACTCCACGCATCCATGCGTCACGCGTCTTTGGTAGCGCATACTATGCATGGGGGCTATATTTGGGGTGGCGTGGTTTACAGCGCTTTGCCAACAGCGCCAACCCACGTAAGTCTAGAAGGGGGGGTGGGGGGGGGGGCGTTGTCTCTTTTCTGCTCTGATGCACCTGATGCACCTGCTGTACAACACAACACAGCGCTGACGCGTTGACCCAAACGATGTCGGGACTCAACAGCATCTATGAGAAGCATACCAAACGCACAAGAAGGGTGATTGGGGCAACTGGCAGACGAGAATGCTGCCACGAGGAATGCGGCCCGGTCGTTTGTGTGCGAACGCCCGGTGGGGCGCACCAAAAAGTTGAAAAAAACAAAATGAATATCATCCCGCGACTAACTCAAAGGTCGTTTGCGAAAATCTGTATAACAAACGAAATCGTCAGGGCTGACTCAAAGGATATTGCGGTAGTGGCATAGCAGTAGGGCACAACAACATGAGCAAAAAAAAACTACCTTCAGTGCGACGCGCAAGAGCACAGCAACAGTTGTAAAAATCAAAAGGAGGAAAACAACCCAGCACATTCAGATCGACAACAGCAGTTACTTCTATATAGAGACATGAAAAAATGAACGGGGTGGTCCTGGAAATTGTAGCACGCATGCAAAATCGACTCACTTCTACAACGGGCTCCCCGGGATGTTGTTCAAGTGCTAGGCAGTGTTCGTCTCCCGCGCGATCCGGTCCACCTCGTGGAAGACCTGCACGTGCACGAGCGATCCCGCTCTCTTGTAGTACCTATACTTCATGACACGTGTTAACCCGTCCCGTCTCCGTTCAAGTCACGGATGTACGGCTCAGCTGTTGCGCCATTGCCCTCCGGCTGCTCTTTGCCGACCCACCTGCTGCCATTACCGTGGAGGTAGACGACACTGGGCTTTCTGTCCAGGGCTTGCCTCCACCCTTCTGGTCGAGCACACGTAGTAGCGGGCCTCGTGACCGATCAGCGTCGGGTGCAAGGAAGCAAGCGAATGTCTCCTTCCCCTTTCAACTGCCGTCTTGCGCAGTCGCCGTGAGGGACATGCTCCCCGGATAGTGGATGCAACTGTTGACGCAGATTCCAAGAGGCAACGGAATTGTACAGCAGTTTGGCTAACATTCAGTCGTCGCGTCGATTTCTTGGCAAGCCTGCACCGTCGTGTCTGGATATGCCCGCTGGAGGAACAGCGGGATCAATTATTCTGCGTGCGGTTGAGAAATAGAATTAGACTATGAAGGAAAAAAAGAACGTCCAGGGCCAAGCAACAGGCTTGCCAAGCAACAGGCTTGCAAACACTGCAATTAGATCTACTCAACCCCAATAAAAAACTGCGCGCCTGGACATTCCAGTATCTGGGATGGACAGGAGACTCTCTCAACATGGAACCTCTGGAACCTCTCTCAACAGTTGCCATAAGACTTTCCCGAGGTCTCCCGATTTCCCAGGATTGATCCCATTGGCTTCTCAGGCAAGCATCACACATCAAGGTAGACGGTGTGCAGCAGTCTACGCGTTAACAGTGATGGGTAATGTAGCGAGCTACGGTTCCAACGCCGCGATTTTCAGCATCAGAGCTCTTCCTACATGCTGCGGAGCAATCGAGTTTTGAAAATCGGTCCAGGTGTGGTGTTTTGTGTCACCTACCGTAAACGGTACTTGCGGTGGGTACATTGCTCGTCGAAACAGACTGTTAGTGGTGCTAACGCTTAGCTGACGTGCATGAATGATGTGCTCTCCACAAACTCTTCTTGGGAGCTGCTTGAAACGTGAGCATCTTCTTCCTGAGCCTTTCGAAATGCAACTACTGCCGTAAACCATGTTCATGGTTGAAGCCAACACGGCACAATACACATCCGGCAATTACGAGAAGGATAATGGCCTGTGACGACCCTCTGAAAAACCGTAGCCGCTACTGCATCTCAATGGGACTGCTGTATCGAGTTTCGAGTCACGTGGGTCCTCTCCCTTGATTTTTTTTTTTCTTATTATGACACAACGAGTCCATCTCTTATGATAGAAAAGAGTCATAGATTAACAACGGAATCATAACGTCAGAGAAAACTACCTGTTTTTTCTTCTGAATTGCCCAGTGTACTGCAGCAAGTTCAAATTACGAAAATACGTGCGGAACATCTACGCTGTTGTGATTTATCTGTGCACGTGACTGCCTGCGGCGAGTTTATATTTGTATGTAGCAGGCTTCCCCTAGGTTGCCTGAGTTCTCACCTACTGCCGCAGCCCTTGCACCCGGGTGCGCCGGCGGCCCCAAGCTGCGATCATCGCAATCGAGGCAAACGAGACTGCTCCGCCGTGAGCCATATCATCTCGTGCCTGAGCTCCGCTTC